AGTGACAGCTGACCTGTAAATGAGTGAAAACTGCAGAGTTCAGGCCATTAGATGTAGCTCGTCTGTGTTGGGACATTCTTTTGAACAGCCTTTAAAAGCCTGAATTTTGCCTGAAACTCTCAGACTGAAGAAGTCTCTTGGAGGAGAGACGAAACGTTTCATTAGAGAAGAACCCGTCCAGAAGACCTATACAATTTTTTTTCTCTTTGATTTTTTTACCTGGATTACTGAGATGCATCAGGACATGTTCCTGTTGTTGCAATAAAACTCAGCTGATCAGCTGATCATCTCACGGAGTACCTTCATTCTTGGACCACGTATTTCTGTCTTTGTTGAATAAATTATTTCCATAATTGGGCCTTTACCTGGCGACCTTGCAGAGTGCTGTCTGGGGATTCCCTTGTTTTCCTGGATGACTTCAATGCCATTGTAAGCGATGATGGATTTACAGTATTTGGAAAGGGGATGATAGGGAGGAACAGCCTCCCAGATCTGAACCCAAATGGACTTCTGTGTTAGGCATGAGTTGTCCACAGCAAACAGCATGTTCAAGCAAAGGGTTGTCCATATACAACCCTATGTTACAGTTTTTTATTGTAAATTAGTTTACTGCACCAAAAAAGGAGAAAGAAATTACTAAAATTAACAGTAGGTTTAAATATAATTTACACATAATAAATTTGTATTGCTTTTGCATAATTAGTTTTTTCAAATAAACTAATAGTTCACATAAATTTGAATAAATAATAATACAGTAAGAACAATTCAAACTAAAATCATCGAGTCACACTACACGGTAAAAATGCATCTACTTATCCCACTCTTCTAAGACTAGTTAATGAATTTAAATAGCCAAACCAGACATAAAACAAGGGTAAATCTGAAAAACCAACTTCACGTTTTGTTAAATTTGAACATTTCCTAAAATGTAACTTCTGTTTACTTTATAAGACTGTAGTCATCTTTGCTTGTTTGTTGCTGACTCACCGTCGACTAAAACAGACGACTGCAGCCTTATTTAACAGCTTTTAGCACACACACACACACACACACACACACACACACACACACACACACACACAAAATAAAAATAAAAAAAAACTTCGCAAAAAAAGGACGCCTCCGACTCCTGGCTGCTTGGCCATCTGTTTCCTGTATCATCCATGAGCCCCTCTATTCCTTTATTTCTCTTGAAAGATGCATCCTTATGATTTGTTTTGCACCCATACATTTAGAAAGTGAAAAATTAATTGAAAAAAATACAACCAAGCATGATGGAAAAACTCTTTTTGGTCAGATGTAAAAAAAAAAATAAAAAATTTCAAATAAGGAGCTTATCCAGTGACATTTGATAAAATTAGTTAATGAGATAGTAAAATAGATAGTTAATGCATGGCCACAAAACAGATAATGCATGGCCACAAGATAGTTAATGCATGGACACAAGATAGTTAATGCATGGCCGCAAAACAGATAATGCATGGCCACAAGATAGTTAATGCATGGACACAAGATAGTTAATGCATGGCCGCAAAACAGATAATGCATGGCCACAAGATAGTTAATGCATGGACACAAGATAGTTAATGCATGGCCGCAAAACAGATAATGCATGGCCACAAGATAGTTAATGCATGGACACAAGATAGTTAATGCATGGCCGCAAAACAGATAATGCATGGCCACAAGATAGTTAATGCATGGACACAAGATAGTTAATGCATGGCCGCAAAACAGATAATGCATGGCCACAAGATAGTTAATGCATGGACACAAGATAGTTAATGCATGGCCGCAAAACAGATAATGCATGGCCACAAGATAGTTAATGCATGGACACAAGATAGTTAATGCATGGCCGCAAAACAGATAATGCATGGCCACAAGATAGTT